ATAGCAAAAGTAAGCAGACTGGCAGCTTGGAGGACTCACCTGGCACTCGGCTCCCTTCCCAGTCATGCCCAACCCTGACCCCACAGGTCGGAAGGGAGCTCAGGAGACAAGAAAAACCAGATTGAGGCTGTCTCAGAGCTCACAGACCAGCTCCAGAGGGATGGGGCAGCCACTACACCTTGGGAGCTAGTCCACCCTGGCTCCAGCATGAAGGTCCCTTCCCACAGCAGAGGCTCTTTCGGCACTGTAGGGTATGCAGAGGAGGTTCGGGGCTTCCCAAAGAGAGTCCTTTCTTCAGGACCACGGGAGTCTAAGGACCCCAGGATAGGCCACCCAGACAGAAGAAGAGTCAGAAGCTAAGAGAAAGCCTAGAGGACCAAGGTGTCGGACACAAGACCAAATCCTCACGGACAGGGAGCTGGGGTGACGGGTCGGTGAGAGGGCAGCGTGCGAGCCGGTGATGGTCTCTCAGCACAGTGCCAGGTACATGTGGCCTCCACCAGGCCTGGCCAATCACATTGCCTGAGGAACAGGACCAAGTTCATGAGGTCAACATCTCATAGAGGCTGCACAACTGTACAAGCAGGAGGACAGGGTGTGCTCACAGACAAAGATGGCTGCAGGGCCACCGGGGCAGGCGGATGGCTGTCTTTGCAGGAGCCACCCTCCCTTGGCACACAGACTGTGCACTCTGCTCCCCACTAGTCTCAGAGCCCTCTCCTGTCCCTCGGAAGCTTGAGAATCAGCACGAGATGAGGCAGCCCTCCACAGGCTCCATGACAAGACCAGGGAGAGAATCTCCTGGTGGGAGGACAGGCGAGTCCTGCAAAGGCCAGGATGAGGGGAAACCCAGGGAGGTGAGGCTGGGCTCCTAGGATTGAGGCAGAGCACAGAGTCGTCACCAGTTACCTCTTCATTACTGTGGGGATACAGGCAGCAACAACCATACAATACTGCCACACTTAGCAGGTGCCCCAGACACAGCCACTTGCTGCCCCTCACCTTACCCAGTGAGCAGTGCTGGCTGGCCCTGGGAGCAGAGCTACAGGGCCTTCCTGAAGGAAGAACTTGAGTCATGGAGAGCATGGGCAGCAGGGCTGACGGGGAGACCCAAGTGATCAGTGTCGGAGCTCACACACTAAGAGCTAAGAGACCACATCACAAGTGAGAGCCTGTGACTTCATGTATGCAAAAATAATAATAATAATAATAAAAAGCCCATTGCAGAGCCCTTGAGCAACATCCCATGTAGCCCATGTTCTTGTGGGTGGGCTAGCCCATCACACACACACACACACACACACACACACACACACACACACACACACACACGGATAAGACTAAATCAAGCAAGCCAGGAGGGTCTTTGCAACTCTGAACTCAGGAAGCCCTTAAGCCAAGCCTGACACAGAGTATGTCTAGAGAACAGGCACTGTTCTTCCTGTCTGGCCATGCTCAAAGCCTCTAGCAAACCCCACCACTGGAAACACAGTAGGAGCAGTACTTTTCCCTGTCCTGAAAAAGAGGGACAATAGGTCTCTCTGCAATACCACATGGACAGACAGCATCAAGTCCCCACCAACACCAGCTCACAAGTTCAAGTGGCCAGAATCAAATGCCAAGCTGGAGCAGCCGGACCAGAGAGAGGTCACCTCAATGCCACAGTTTCCCCTATACCAGTGGCTGCCACCCAGAGCCTCGCCCAAGGAAGGAGCAGGCAAAGCCAGCACTGAGCTCCAAGCTCAGGGGTCCTGTCCCTACACTGGCCCCAGAAGCATGGGGTTTCAGGTTTCCTGGCCACTGCCAGGCCTCTGCTCCGCCTCCAGCGACTGGGAGAGAAAGTCTGGCTTACTCTTAAGAGGTAGCATTCCAGCAATAACTCAGCTCGGGGAAACTTGTGAAAAACCAGATGTCAACGAGAAAGGCTCTCTTCAGAGACAGGCCCTAGAGATGAGTGTTTCACAAGGGGCCGGGAGCCTTTGTTTTATTTAAGTGGGCAACTCCGGAAATGGGAAGAAAATGGAACCACGTGGACCCCTGTTTTAAGAAGCCAGAAAAATTATGATTTCTGGCAACTAGGTGGCCAGTCCCTTCTCTGACAGTCCAGGAGCAACTGAGGCCCAGTAATACAGGGGAAAGAGCCCTTCCTCAGAGCTATGCGTACAACCACCCATCAAGGAGGCCACAGCCCAACACATTAGAGCATAAGCAGGAGGCCCCCTATCTCAGGCTGCATGGTGGGGTGGGGTTACGTACTGGACAGGAGGAGGCAGGAGAAGGCCACAAGCAGGAGGGCACCTCTTCAGCCTTTTAGAAGTATCATGTTAATTCCCAGATACAGAATAAAGTCAAGGCCCCGGACACTCGCAGAGGTCATCTGAGGGACTCCTCCCCAGAGGGATCCCCAGACTCCCAAAACTGGGATCCCTGGACACTGACTGTAAGGCAGTGTCCCAGAAGGAATGAGGGTGACTGAGTAGGTGGGCAGTGGAATAGACCAGCGGCTTAGCAAGGTGCTCTTTGTGGAAGAGCTCTCTTCCCCGCTAACCCTGACACTCAAATCCTCCCATTTGCTCTTTCCAGAAAGTTCTTTAGCAGCTCCACCTGCCCACAGTCTCTGATCTCTGCCAAGTCTCTTTGTCAACGGCTAGGTAGTTGTGTGCCCTGGGTTTTCTGCTTGGCTCCGCCCTTCATAAGTGAGATGGACTGAGAACAAGGCCACTATTTAAATGACCCAAATTCCTTTGGGAGCCAGTGTTTCCTCTCCACTGAGTACCCTGGCTCCTGGCTGACCTGTTCAGGCAGGAGGACTGAGGCTGGTCCAGCAATGGGCACAGCCTGTGCTGTAGTCTGGCTGCACAGGCCCCAACAGGAGTCAGGTAGCTGCTGCATTCCATCCTGGCTCCTCCTGGGCAAGTAGCTCCTCCCTTCCAGCCTGGCTCCTCTTAGTTGTTCTCCTTGTGGAGATATGCCCTGGGCCTTACAGCATAAGATGGAGATTCCTTTGTGCTTACAGGAGCTCAGTAGCTGGGCCTCTGAGTTGGGTCAGTGGTCTCCTGACATATCACATCATAAGCAGGTGTTAACTGAGCATCTATCACTCACTGGGGGATAGCATGACCCATTCTCCATGATTCCTACTCCTGGCCCACCCTCTTGTCAAATGTTTTCAAAGTAATTAGCTGTGTTTTGATAACTTCACAAAGAGTCAGCCTCCTTTATATCTATACATTTTACAATAACTATAAAATTCAAATTCCAAGAGAGCCCCTCATGTACTCTTCCAGGGATGAGGTGGGTGGAATCTATAGCAGAGAGGTAGGAACCCCCATGCCAGGACAAGGGGTTCACCAAGCCAGGAAATGCCACACTGTGTGCTGGGGCTCCCCTTGGGGCCTGAGGAAGGTAGGTACCCAGAAGCTGCCTCAAATCACAGAGAGGGGTATTTGGATTGTAGGGCTCAAACACCAAAAGCCCTGCTTGGCCATCAAATGGTAAATCAGACACAAACTCCAACAGGGTTAAGAGGTATTGATGAGAATAAATTGAGAAAAACATAGAGATTTTTATTGAGTGCTTTATTTTTACGGAATGAAAATTGAATTACTTAGCTGGTCAATGAGGAAGTCGATAGGGAAAAATGCCTAAAAACTAGGAAAAAAAGAAGGAAGCATGAACTTGAAATGCAACCTGCAGCTTCCACAATACCTGGAGGGTACCTCTGCCTCAGGATGGTGGTGGCCACTTTGGCCCGGCACCACACAGCCCAGTTCTGTACCACACAAGTGATAGATATAGGTTTCCTGGGCTCACCAGCATTCTTAAGTCTCAGAAGCACCCTGGCTCCGGCACCCACCGTGCCACCCTCCTTCCTGGGCATAGGCAGGCCATGGCAGCCTCAGGGTTCTCTAAGGATTGCAGTCATACACCAATCTGGCAGGTGTCAAAATTCCAGGCAGCACAAAAGGGACTTTGCTACCATTCAAGTTCATGCTCAATCCAGAAACTAAACAGTCACCCTGTGGCCCAGCAGTTCTACTTCCAAGCAAATACCCAAAGAATCTGAAGCCAGGACTAAACAGGTTACAATGGGTCTGCACTCAACAGCTTCATTCACTGTAGCCAAAGGTGGAAATGATTCAAACATCCATCCACAGATGAATGGAAACAAAATGTGGTCCATTCACTCAATGGAGTAGTATATGCCCCCCAAAAGAGGACATACTTGGACATGTCACAACATGGATGAACATAGGACACAGAGGGCAGATACTGTAACACCCACTCACACGAGGTCCAGAGCTGTCAAACTCACAGAGCGGTGGCTCCTGGACCTGGGGGGATAACACTTAGTAGAGACAGTTTCAGCTGGGGTAGCACACTGGCAATGAATGGTGGGGGTGGTTGCACAGCAACACAGGTGCCCTAATGCTGCTGAGCTGTGCATTTAAAAATAGGTACAGCGAGATATGTTATATAACCACAGCTCAAACCACAGCAAAGACAAATAAACATATTTCTTTTTAAAATGTTTACACTTCTTGTGTTATATACGTGTGTGCATTCACGCATGCTGTGGCATGCATGTAGAGGTCAGAGACTCTCCTTCTACCATGTGAGTTCCAAGCAGCAAGCACCTTTTTACCAGCTGAGCCATCTCATTGGCCCCGAGAGAGAGAGAGAGAGAGAGAGAGAGAGACAGAGAGAGAGAGAGAGAGAGACAGAGAGAGAGAGAGAGAGAGAGAGAGAGAGAGAGAGAGAGAGAGAGAGAGAGAGACAGAGAGAGAGAGAGAGAGAGAGACAGAGAGAGAGAGAGAGAGAGAGAGAGAGAGAGAGAGAGCGTGTGTTCAAGACTAATGATATTCAAATCATGCCTGGGATCCTTAATGGCTCTGCCCAGCAAGCCCCGGGGACAACTGCATGCGTATCGGTCTTAGCTGTAAATGATATGGTAGTATCATCTTTGAATGAGGGAGCACAGACTGACGAGTAGCGAGTTCTAAGGGTCTGCGGTTATCCATTTTATTGTTCACAATCCAGAACTCTATGCAAACAGAAGAATGCAGGGATAAAGTCAAACTGCACCAGAGGCAGAGAGGCAGGAAACGAGCCTCACTGGAGGAGGCCACCTCTCCTCTGAGCCCCGGCAACGGTAGCTATTCTGCTACTTCACAAAATACACAGGGGCAAGCAAACTCAAAAAGAAATCTTGAACTCCTGAACTTGGCCTGGCTCTTTTCTTGCTTTCATTTGAACTCGATTTATCCATGAGCGTCAGGAAATGGCGTCCGCAAGAGCCGTGCTGTGCTCAAATTGAGGCTAGCTCAACGTTGGAGCAAATCATCTGCTTCTGCAAGAAAATTAGTAAGGAAGGGAGAGTGCTGTTATTTTAAGACCTCCGAGCCCATGTGAGAAGAAACTAATTAAATGATTGTAATTTTCTGTGCAAATAAGCACCCAACCACTACAGAAATGCAAGCGAGGAAGGGGCTTTTCCACCTTCAAAGAATGATGGCCTTTTTATTTCTTATTTCTAGCTTTCCAGGGCCCGCTCTCACTCAGGTAGCCCTAGTCAATGTTCAAATGATGAATAGAGCTTAATTGGATTCAGGGTGATGAGCACTCTATGGACTGCCAAGTGTCGGCGATCCTAGGGTGTCACGGAAAAGGCCCAGCGCCTGCTGTCACCATCACCCAGCACCTACACAGGTTGGGAGGCAGATGTCTGCGTCTTCAGTTTCCATCCTTGTGGTCGGGTCCAGGAAGGCGTGTGATGGCATGGACCTGCTGTGTGGGCATGCCCATCCCCACCATCCCTCTTTTCACACCCACAATCCAGATCACACTCACGAGACCCAGAAAGGCTTTCCCATAGCCGAAGCAGCCAGCATGCACCCTGCTGATGCCCATGATGCCCAGGCCAAAAACCCGCCTAACACATATAGATTGTTATCCATATTTTACAAACTAGAAGTCCTGAGGGGCAGAGGCCAGCCCAGCTCACTGAACTTCCAGAGGCAATATAATGGCCCTGGGGAGCAGTCCCAGTGACATCATTACACCCTCAGGGCTTAGCCTCCCTTAGTGACCCCCCAGAGCACCCAAAGAGGGCCATCAAGTAGATGAAGCAGAAGCGGGCTCCTGGCAAGGTCAGTAAGGAATCCCCTCCTAGAGGGTGGGTCCAAGAGGGCTCCAGCCAGAAGGCAGCATATAAGCTCAGGCCCCCCTGAAGGCACCCAGCTGATTTTCTGGGTTCTCCAAATCTGTGTGCCTTTACATCATCCCTGGCAAGTCCTGGCCTGATTGAAAATTCATCATCATGGAGTAACGGCAACTCTGGAGAGGCCTGTGCAAGCCACAGGCTGCACTCTAGCCCTGCGGGGGTGCGCGGATGAGCTAATTTATGGGGGTGCGGGGACCAGCTAATTTGTGACCCTTTTAGAATGCGTTCTAGAACCTTCTGCAACTACACAAGAGGCCCTTCATTAAAACAGGAGTGGGTGTGTGAAGTGTGTCAGGAACTTTGCTGGAGGGCTGTCCTGGCACCTCTGAGCCAGGCAGGCTTCCTGATGACGGCAGACATGCCCCTTCTCTGCCTGCGAACTCTCCAGGCTTCTGAGGTCCTCATCTCCCTTTGGCCTCAGTATTCCCACTTTCCCAGTCTCTGCCTCAGGTCTCCTTGTCCTTCAGACTGACTCCATCTGCACCTCCTTCAGGAAGTCTTACCAAATTCCCCTGCCCATGTGCTCACACAGTCCTGAGGACACTCTGGGCAGGATTCTGTCCCTACTCAGCATCTCACCAGGCAAAGCCTTTGCTTCACTGGGGCAGCCCTGGCAGTTGACCTTGCCAGGTACACAAGAAACGCTTAGCAAATATTAGCTGAGTTCACAGCTCCTGGGAGCTGGGGCCTACACTGTTGCTGGAAAAGAAAGAACAAGGAAGTGACGTCCACGGTCTTGGAAAACCACAAAGTGGAAGAGGGTGTTGACAACATGCTGGCTAGGCCCCACCCATGCTGCCCAGGCTCTGCACAGGTACCCAGGCCCAACTACCAGCCTGACACATGAATTGTTATCCATGCTTTATTATCAATTAGAAGTAGGCTCAGAGATATTCTAATCTCACCCATGTAGAACAGCAGGATCGGGGGTGAGCCTGGCAGAGCCTGATGCCGGAGTCCACACTGGAACCTCTGGGGCATTAAGACCTGCACCTACAGCAGCATTGAGAAGAGGGAGCTGTGTGTACCAACACTGGTCCTTGCAAGCCCTCCCTCTCTTCAATCCTGCTCACCACATCTATAAATAAAGTGTAAATAAATTAAATGTATGCACAGAGCCCATAGTTGGTAGTGATTTGGAGATCACCCGGCACTGCTACTCATGTTACAGATGAGGAAACCGAGACCCAAGAAAGCATGGGTGCATAGGTTCATGGGTGCATGGGTAAACACTTTCAGCAGGGGCAGGCTCTGGAGTAGTGGGCTTCTGACTAAAGGTGGAGAGGAATAAAAGTCCAGGGTTAGTGGGGAGAAGAGTGGACATCCTGGAGGACAGGGCAGAGTTCCCAGGGTCAGAGACTGAGAGAAAGGCATGCGTCCCACCACACAGGGGCTCAAACTAGTGACCACACCCTCCGTCTTCCACCCTTGGGATCACTTGCCATGGGTCCCACCTCACGGTGGCTCACACCAGCTCACACTCTGCATGCCCAGCCTCCTCCTACCCAGTGCTGACAGTCCTCAGCAAGGCCTGGAGCAGACATCTCATCCCTTGTCAAACAATTCGAACTCTAGGAGCTCAGTAGCTCTAGAAGAGCATGAGAGCTTCCCAAACACAGCTCCTGTGGCCTTACTGGCCATGCATGTCCTACACAGAAGAGCTGGAGGCAAGAACCCACCCTAGATGCTACACACACACACACACACACACACACACACACACACCACAGGCACACACACACACACACACAGGCAGGTCTTCCAGACTCTGGACTGCCCAGGAGAGAACTAAGCAGATCAGGACCTTAGGGTCCATGGGAGGTACTGGGTGAGTGAAGTTGGGAACCGTAAGTAATCCTGAGAAGCAACAAGAACAGATCAGGCCTGAGGTGCCCAGAGGTGACACAGGGTGCAGGAGAACATCAATGCACAGTGACACTACACCTGTTAACCCTAGAGGAGAATGCAAAGGAAGGCAGCTGTCCACCTCCAGCCAAAGAAGGTGCCCAATGGGAAAGTGGAAGTGGGTGGTGCCACCAGAGCCAAGAGTCCCCCCTCAAACCGCAGCCAGGAGATCCCTGAAAGAGCTCCTGACTCAGGCGGCATTCACTGTGGAGTGGGGGAGGCCTGCAGCCCCTTCAGCCCCAAGTGCCCCCTCCCACCCAGGCCTCTGTTGCTCCCCACACCTGGCTCACTAATCTGGTCAATTGACTTAATTCTCCTCAGGCTCCTCCATAGTTAAAATGAGCTGTCCCATTCCTCCCTTCCCAAACCCCATCTGTGCCTCTTCATCTTCCCCGGCTCAGTCTCTGAGTGTCAGCCTGGGCCCAAGGGAAAATGCAGCATGCCTCCCTGCCCTCAAGAATGGCTCTTGGTGTTACCAGAGCCCCCCCGCAATTGGGAGGAAAGTTATACAGGATACAAATGGTCATGCTCACACACAGATTCTGGCAGGGTCCCTCAGCACCTGTGATCGCTCCATATAATGCCGCTCTGCATAACACAGAAGCCAGGGCACCCTTAGTACAAGACCCTGGACACCCTCAGCACAGGACCCTGGGGTACCCTCAGCATAGAGGAGGAAGCCCTAGAGTGTGCACCTGTGGTTTGCTCCACAGACATGCTCTGTGACTGCCACCTGTCACACGGCACAGGAGTCTATGTCTCTCTCCTCAGTCTTCATCCAGACACTAGACGTAAGGTCCTGACAGGCTTGCACACCAGCGGCAAGCTCCTGACAGCCCATGTGACAGACATTCCACATCAGCCGCAGCATCCTTGGTCACTGTCTCACTTGGGTGGCCACTGGACACCTTCATAGTGGCTACAAAGACAAATGCTCAGTGTCTGCAGGCTGTCAGCCTCAGCTTCCATGGGAAGCCAGACTCCAGCCCCAGAACAAAGGGACACTGCCCCCCGCCAGAGCCTTGAACTCAGGAATTTGCAATGCCCAGGAGTCACTGAGATGCTTCCACTGGGACACCACAAAAACACAGCCGTAGGAAGCAAGACTGTTAGTCAGGTGAGGGCCCATTCCTTTCAGACCTCAGAAGGTCTCAGTAGGTGGAGACTGGCCTGGGGCCTCAGAGCCCTGCACCGAAGAGTGAGAGGCTGACAGGACACCCACCATTCATCTTTACCTGGGCACCTCCTTTGGACTCACTCTCCCCAACACAGTGCAGGCACGGCCGGAACAGTACAGAGTCCCACTAGCCTCAGCCCTGCTCTCCCCCTGTGGCCTTTCCGGCCCCACCCGGGCTGGCTGTCATGCTAACTTCTAGCTGCACACCATGCTCTGATCCATTCATTTCAAAATCTAACCCTTGCACAACCAGCCTACGAAGCTGCAAGTCCATCTTTCCTTGGTGAAGACAGGGGCCTGGAGCATCTCCATCTGTCCTAGGAGCCAAGGCCAGAAGGTGAGCCTGAGACACACCCAGCCCAGCAGGCTCCAAAGCTTAATTATCCACCAACCCAACATCGTCACGGGCTCGTCAGCCACGTATCTGGGGAGCAGGGACAACTTCACTCTCCTCCCAGCTTCTCTCCTTCGGCTTCTGCTTCTACACAGCGCATTCAATGTCTCTATGTGGCCCTGGGACCTTCCAATTCCTACCTCGCAGGCCTCACGCAGGCTGTCCCTCCTGCCAGAGCATTCTCCCTCTCACGTCTGCTCCGCCTGCTTATCCTCTGGGCCAGCCCTGAGGCCGCCTCTTCTATGCTGTCCTCCCTGATGATGCTCTCCACCTATCTGCCTGTTTACCCCCATCTCATCTCGCCCACCAGATGACTCTGAGCTCCAGGTGCTACGCTCAGAGAATGACAAGTGAGACCTACTCCCTGCTCTTGGGGGCTGAATTGAGTCAGCCCTTCCCCCAAGGTTCATAAATTGAAATCCTAATTCGGGACCTCCAAACTTGAGTGGATCTGGAGTAGGGCTTCTAACAGTGATTCCATTATAATGAGTCTGTCAAGGTGGCCCTACCCCAACTGGTGTTCCAATTGGAAGGAATAACACTATCCCAGGTGCAAACAAAGGGACAAAAGGAGTTTTCTGTCCATGGCCCACGCTATCACGGTCCTTTGTCTCAAAGCTAGAGCAAACAAATGCACCTGCCCTCAAGGAATCTGACCTGCACAGGGGTCATGACAGAATTCCCACACAACTAAGACAGAGGCCATGAAACCTCTACAGAAGAAACTGAGGCAGACTGCCTGCCTTCAACCTTCCAATGCTTGGGCTGTCTGCATTTACACAAAATGACACAGGGAGGGAGTCCAACCAGATGCCTGGTTGGTGTGCTTTCTCTGACCAGAATTAGCTGTGAACACTCACCCCCACTGCTGGGAGACACAGCAGAGGGTGAGGCGGGCGGGAGGGAGGTAAATGGTCAGTCTGAGGTACAGAGATGGGACCCGGCTCTGGGAAGCTCAGGTCCAAGTCGAACCATGAGTCAAAATTGCAATGCAAGTGCCTTGTGGGAAGTGGGGGGGTGGGGAGGCTGTGCTTAAAGTACACAATTCCCCCAAAGCACTCCTACCAGGCTAACAAGAAACCGCCACCCTCAGGTGGAGTTCAGCACTGTGGCCTTCATATAACCTAACTGCCTCCGAGGGCCGTGTGGAGACCCAGGGCCTTGTGTGCGTAGCCCAATCCGGGTGTATCAAGAGGCAACCGTGGTCGGTTTCCACGAAGCATTCATCTCACACATAACAATGTGTTGCCACAGCTAAACGTCAGCTGGAGAGGCACTGTTTGAACTTCCAAGAGAGCCCCCTTCCCTATCTCCATGGGAGCAGGAAGAATCGAGACTTTGCTAGGAAAACTCACATATGTTCCCAGAGCTGCAGTGACAGGGACTGTCTGGGAACCAGCTTGAGTCCCGCAATCCCTCAGCCCATCCCTATCGGGATGTGCTCTAATGCCATTTCTGAGAGTCCATGCCCCTCCCCCAGGGCTCTTATTTTGAAAAGCACCTGACATGATAAAGCAAAATGCTCTGCTGTGGACCACATCCACAGAGGGCAGGGGCAAGCAGCAGAGGCAACTTCATAAAGACAGCACTCAGCAAAGAGTCCCTTGGTCTGCTCCTTTCTCATCCAAGCTCACAGAGGCGGTGCTTCGGGCAAGAGGTACAGCCAGCTGCCAAGTGCTGGCTCTCATCTCTGTCCCTGTGGCTGCACATTGAGCATGGAGGGAGCAGTGCATTTCCAAGACACTCCATGTGCCAAGAATGTGCTGTGCACAACCAGATCCGAGAGAACCACATTTAAAGGGGCTAGTTTACTGAGGCTGCTCCCAGGTGCAGCCCTCACCCATCTTTTTCCATTCCTGGGTTTTCCCGGCAAAGTGAACCTCTGAGAGCATCCCCAACCATGGGTGAGCAGGTTTCCTGGAAAGAATCCCATCCCATCTTCCTGACGGCCCAGGGCTGAGTTCATGAGTGAGGAGGAGGAGGGAGAAGGGTCAGGTCAGATGCCGGGCACTGTGCCCATGCTGCCCCACACACATTCAGCTAGGCGTCAGCTAGGTACCAGGCTGTGCCCTACTGTCCACATCCTGTGCCTGCTCCTTTGTCATAATGGCTGCAGGAGAGGGCCCCTCAAGGCTTCTTTCCAATTCTTTGGCCAGTCATTCTCCATTCTCAACCCTCCAAGGAAGTCACTCAGGATCCAGGCTCGGAGTCTAGAAGGGGTCCAGCTGGACACCAACCTATCCTAGAGGCAGCTGGTCTCCTTCCCTGTGGTTCCTCCACGCCCCCCACACACCCAGTGTCCCACACTTCTTTCATGCCCTCCTCCCACGAAGATAAGTGACAGAGTGACAGGAGTAAGCTAGTTGGATCAACAACCCCAACACTCCAAATGCATGGAGCTTACTCTCAGTGTCTCTTTCAGTTCTTGGTTTCTTGGCTGCCTTTCAGTTCTGAAGAATAGCCTGTGGCACAGGGGACACAGTTTCTCTTAGTTACGAGCCATCTCTGAAAGACTGGGACCATAGAGTCTGAGGGCTTGCTCAAGGTTCAGGTGTGGGGGCAGCAGGGCACCTCCACGCCCTTGGGAAGAGCACCCGCCTTCAGTGAGGCACGCTGATCAGCACCCTGACTGCCCCCTGCTGGCCAGCTGCATCCACAGCACTAGCTCTGCCCTCTGAGGGCTGCTAGTCTTCCCGGAGATGCCATTGACAAGGGACCAGTAAAGGCACCTGCATCCTGAATGCTGCCAGCCAGTGCGGGAGGGGCCAGCAGGACTAGGCTTTGGGCCAGCCAAAGGCCACTTGGTTGTCCCTTCTCCAGCACAAATGGAAACCTAGCAGTCACCAAGAGTACTAGGAGAAGGGACGGGGTAAAAGTGTCTGCAGGCCCTGACAACCAAAAAAAAAAAAAAAAAAAAAAAGAGACCGGCCCACTCCACCTCCAGTAAATGCAGGAACTCTGGTCCTGTGTGTTTTCACCCAAACTTGTGAGATAAAGAGAAGAGGTGGAGCAGCTGCTGGGGGTGGAGGGCAATTGGAAAGTGTGAGCAGGCGGTGGCCAGTCAGTGAGGAGGGATTCCTGCCTCCCTCTTCATGAAACACACTTCTCCGGATAGCACAAACTTGCAAAACTGGCATCCATACACCTGGGAATGCTCAGCGGGGACAGAGTAACTATGGCCTTTAACCAGGAAGAACAAAGGCCCTGAGGTGCACTACCAAAACAGGAACGGGGTAGGCTAGATCCTAGATGTGGGTGTGTAAGGTGAAGGATGCTGGAGGTTTCCAGCCAGAGGGAGAGGTATGAGAGAAAGGCAGGGAGTTGGTACCCAGAGCTAAAGACCTCACATCGTTAAAATACGTTAAACACCCCTAGGTCCTAGGTCTGGGAGGCCCAAAGACAGCCATGGGACACACGGAGAGGAACAATCCTAGGATTAAGAGTCTTAGAATAGGACATGGAACTGACAGGGTTATCCTGGCTCTCAAGATCGGGGTAGATTGAGTCCTAAGGACTCTAGTGCCAGCAATTCCAGAGGTGCACTCTGGAGCCGCTGGGTGCAGTGCAGTGTGTGGGCGACCCACCATCCACGCAGCACAGAGCTAGGTGGCCCTCAAGGACTTGTAGTCATGCTGCCCCGATCCTGAAGACTCTAGGGACTTTCCCGTAGCCCAGGAATGGTTGGGGGTCCCCAGAGCCTCGGGAATGCCACCTGAGAAAGAACGAGTCTCGCAAATTTGAGGACCTTTCCAAAAGTAACCCATAGCCAGAAGCCAGTAGGGGCGCCGCCGAGGTGACCCGCGTCCCCCAAGTAGCCAAGAATGCCCAGCGGGGGTGACCGTGGGTGGTCCGGAAGTGGGGGGGGGCTGTGGTGGTCTCCCTGAGTATTCAGAGGTGTCCGGGAAGGGCCGGGGGCTCAAGGAGGTCACTTACGCTGCTGTTCTCTCCTGTCCAGTGCACCATTGCCTGGTTGTGTGTCGCGTCTCCCTTGAGCACGAACGACGTGCTGATGAGCGAGACCTGCGCGCGGGAAGCCGAACCGGCCACCGGAACCGCCCGCGCCCTGCGCCCCTTGCCTGGAGCTGGGGCGCCATCTGCGCTTGTACCCGAAGCAAGACCCGGACCATGACCCGAGGCGCTGGGCTCGGATCCTTGTGCCTGCCGATCCTCGCGATCGCCGGACTCCGGGTGTCCCGCGTGCAGCAGCCGGGTGACCTGCACGCTGGGACCCAGGCTCCCGGACTCGGGGGAGCTCCCCGCCGCCCCGCAGACAGCCACCAGCACCAGCACCACCAACACCAGCGGCCACAAGCGCGGCCAGCGCGGAGGCGGCGGAGCGTGGGACCTCGGGGCCGGCACAGTGAGGTCAGGACGTTTCGGGGCGCTCGGGATTCCCTGGTGCACCATGGTCTCCGGTAAGCAGCGGTGGGGCGGTGCGGGCGACACCGTGGCCGGGAGAGCTGGAGGGCGCTGGGAGCTCGAGCAGGAGCGCAGAGCAGAGAAAGGAGCCGGGAGGGAGGGAGCGCGGGAGGAGGGGACTCAAAGCCTCCACGCAGCCAAGAGAGCAGCGCCACCTGCTGGCCGCGCGCGAGTCACCGTAGCTCTGGGCCGGGCCGGGCCGGGCCGGGCTGGGCCAGACCAGGATGTCCTGAGCACAGATGCACTTCCAAGATCCCTTCCTTCCCTCACGGTGACTCCCAGCCTTACTCTAGATCCTCGTCTCCCTCCCTCTTTCCATCCTCCCTGCCTTTCTCAGGACGTTTACGGAGCACTTACACTTGGCCAGCCAGAGTTCCAGACACTTGGGGCACAACAGGGTGCAACAAAGAGAGGCAGGCCACACCCAAGTAGCCTGGTTAGAGGCCAGACAACTCCAGAGCAGCCCATCAGCAGAAGCAGTGACAGTGCCTCCTCTGGACGCTGCTGGAGAGGGTCGGGGATGGATGCCTGAGAGTCATGAAAACCAGTGGCCAGAAGAGAAGGACAAAGAGAGGTCCCAACCAGACAGCCTAGGCCACCGCTAGACCCAAAGCTCACCAAGTTCCCAGCCAAAGTCATTTGACCGCTTTAACTCAATGTCCAGGAAAGCAGCCATCTGCCATTCAGACCCGCTTGTGAGGGCAGGAGCCCTCCAAATAAGGCCAGGACTGCAGGTGAGCCCTGGCCCCTCCCTATCTCAATCTCAGGGTCCAGGTCACATTCCACTGCCTGCTGAGTCTCTTCACTTCAGAGAACCAAATCGAGTGGAGGACAAAGCATGCAGCAAAGTCTGAACTTGCCACCAGTACCCTCTCCAGGAGCTCCTGCTCAGAAGAGGCCAGGGCTGCCCCTACAGGGTGTCTAAGAAGGTCTCCTCCTGTGGAATGTGCTCGGGCTGCACCCTGATGTCAGCTTCCAACCTGAAATCCTCAGGAGCTGATGTCCAAAGTCGAGCGTGAAGGGAGGATGCACAGCTGCGGCAACATTTGGTCCTAGCAAAGAAAGGATGGTGAAGCTGTCGGTGAAGGGATGAAGGGGGGGGGGGGAGAGGATGGGAAACTAGCAGAGGATGCTCTGACTCCCAAGCTGCCTTTCCCAGCTGGTGGGAGGCGGCTCCAAGTCGCAACTGTAAGCCACCATTGCTGTGGTCTCCTCCGGCTTTGAATAAGTTTGGCTTTATTGCATTTTAATTTTTTTGTAAAGCTTCTAAATAATAAGAGAAAAACCTCATACTATGACGGACTACTAAACACCTACTACGTGCTGGGCATTTTCTTGGGTGCTTCTGTGCCTGGTAGGTTGCCACCGCAGGTTATCAATTGCCAGCTCATGGCCAGAACAGGTAGTGGATAGAACCATGCCCATTTACAAATGAGAAAACACACTCAGAAGTTCAGTTCCAGCCTGAAGTCACCTAGCCAGTGCGTGTCAGGGACCAGATTTCAACCCAGGTGCTCTGATCCGAGGTGGCATCCTCTGTACCACCCATACCTCTCATCACCTGGGAATAGGGTTCTGGAATACTACTCCACTCAGAAACTCAACCCCAGAGGATGGAACCAGACAGGGGGGAGATGGGAACCACGCTGGCCACCGCAGCCTACCTGAGACAGGTCACAGAGACTTGGTCAAGGCCCCCCATGAATAGAGGAGGCAGTCCAAGCCTGGAATACAGGTGTGATGTCCTGCCAGTGCTCTTTCCAGAACAATCTGTTGCCTCTCTACTCCAGTGAGGCTAAAGGAATTTGAGAGAGTATGGCTAGTTCATCTATTCCATGAACCCACAGCCCAAAGCAGTTGGGATCATTCAGTTTACTGCTATGGCTGGACCCAGGGACAAAGATGAAGGAGAGGAGGCTCGGGCCCAGGAAAATGGTCAGATACTAAATATCTCAGCTACTAGCTGGCACCGGGAAAAAAGAAAGCTGCTGTGTGATGAAGGGTGAAGGGAGCAGGGGTGGAGGATGCCCCACTTATTGCGAGGAAACAGAACTGTCAACCAAGGAAGCAAGGGTCAAGATGGAGCCAGTCACAGCCATGACAGGTGCTGTCGTGGCAGAGGGAAGAGCCCTTGAGCGGTGATCCCACTGGTGGGCCCAGGAGTAGCTCAGTTGGTATTCAGAGGCTGATGGTGTGTGGCTGGAGTGTTTGAAGCAGGGGAGTGAGGTTACTGGTTTTTTGACAGCCGCCACCCTGGCCGTGAGGACAGGCACAGAGACCCAGAAGGAACTGCCGCAAAGGGCTAGAGAGAGTCTGGAAAGAGGAGGGAATAAAGGAAAACTCTACAGAGACCTGTCACCGCACTTCCAGGAACTTCCCACTTCCTTGATTCATCTTCCTCAGAGACCAGAGGAAAGACTTGGGGACACACAGGCGCAAGAGGAAAGGAGGAGAGTAGAGAGAACTGACTGGCCACCTCTAGGCATCGAGTCTGATGTCTCCACTGGAGTAAGAGGGAGCACCATCAGCAATGAATGCCAGGGTGGCCAGAGGCTCAGCAGACAGAGGGATGTGAAGGGCGGATGGGATGCCTTTCCTAAAGTCTAGCAGGAGTCTAGGGTCCAAGCACATGCGGGAGCTGTGATTCAGCACAGACCCTCCAAGGGAATCAGAGAAATGCAATTCTCTTCAGGGCTGTAAAGCTCCTGGTATTCAAAATACAGAGGTCCTGAGACAGAGACTGCCCCGGACATCCTCCCCACCAGCTCAGCTCCATGCTCCACACCCCAGTGAAGACCAGAGTTTGATCCTGCTCCTGGGACCTCACAGCCTCACAGGCAGTGACACTAAGCGGGTACTCCAAGGGAAGGGACTGGGAGTCGATCCAGCAATGACCTCGGGATCTGGTCCTGAATGTCCACTGTAGGCCAACCTGGCTCCAGGTGGACTCACTCACCAAACTCATACATCCCAGACCACAGGGAATGTGTCTCCACAGGAAGCTCACATGGAACTCAGCCGGGGACCCTGGTTATCCAGTGTCCCACTTCCCCAGGTACTGCAACTCCACCTGGTCCTCAGATGTCTCACTGTCAAACAGACCCAGCCTGCCATGACCTTGAGCTTCTCAAAGTGCAGTGCCTGGGTGAGCATGTGCAACGTTTTCAGGGAACTGGTGAAAAATGCAGGCTCCTGGCGCCACACAGACCTAGAAAAAACAAAAGACCCAGGTTGTGATCCAGGGCCTAGGTCTTAGCACATCACTGGTAGATCTCAAACACCCCAAACTTGAAAGCTGACCTTATCCCAGTGTCCCAGGCTGCATTTTAGACTTGCCTTGGCAACTTGAGGAACATTCCAACACTGGGGTCTCGCTCCAGGCCTCATGTTTTCTGTTGGAATCCCAGCATCCAGTCATCTTAAGCTCCCGGGGTGATCTGACTGTGCCTCCAATACAGACCCCTGTCCCCATCATTTTCCCTCAGTGCTGGGTGAAACATAGGGCTTTGCACAGGCCAGACACATGCCCACCCCAGGTCTGAATTGACGAGGTCAGCCCTGATTAATGACATGGACTTTCTTCTTCTTCTTCTTCTTCTTCTTCTTCTTCTTCTTCTTCTTCTTCTTCTTCTTCTTCTTCTTCTTCTTCTTCTTCTTCCTCTTCCTCTTCCTCTTCCTCTTCCTCTTCCTCTTCTGCTTCTGCTTCTGCTTCTGCTTCTGCTTCTGCTTCTGCTTCTGCTTCTGCTTCTTCAAGACAGGGTCTGATGGCCTAGGCCTCACTCTGGACTGGACCTCACTATTTAACATGACTTCGAACTCACAGGAACCCACCTCCCTCTGACTTCAAAGGGCTGGAATCAAGAGCATGCTACACCACGGCTGGTCCCAGGGATGGATTTTTATAAGAAGTCAGGGGAGATGGGGATGATGGTGTAGACTCAGCATCAAGGAGTCTGGATAGCAGATCTAAAGTCAACCTGGGCTACAAAGAAAGACCCAACAACCGACCCCCAAAAAGTAAAAAGGGGAGAAAATAGAGGAAGGGGGAGAAAACAAGAGAGGACGGGAGGGAAGAAGACAAATAGAACAAAAGTTTAAGGTAAAATAAAGGATGATTTAGGAAGACTAAAGAGTTCAGGAGATAATGAATATTAAGGGATTGGAACATAGTAGAACCTTGACCGAGAGCAGAACTCAGCTGAGTCCTGACTTTCTGGTGGCAAACCCTGTCCCCTGCCAGTCCTGTGACTATACTGTGTCCCAGAAGGAGGAGGGATGCTGTCTTTTGTACACTAATCATTGCACTGGCTCATTAAAAGTCACAGCTTGCCAAAGGTCTGTAGAGGTGATATCTTAGTCTTTATACACATGAGAAGTTAAAACTGTGCATCGCCCCAAGTGGGGCCAATCTCAGAGACGGGAAAGGGACCCGAGAGTGAGTGCCACATGAAACAAGGAATTCAACCAAGGAGAGGCCCCTGGGGCACACCCCATATCTTTCTGCTGTCTCTGGCAGTAGTGAGCAGCAGAGATATCTCCTTAGGACTCCTAAGGATAAAAGGCAATAGCTCTGAGCCAGGAGGATCAAGCGCAACATCTCCTCATCAGGTTGTCAGGGGCAACAGAGCAAGGCAGCAGGGACAGCAGTAGGTCAGATCCTTAACTGGGATCAGGAGTCGGAGTGTGGCGCAGAACAGGCACCTCGGTGAGCCAATAAAGAGAGTAGAGACAGGAGAAAGGTGGGCTCTGCCATTCTGTGGTGTGCTAAATTTTAAAGGGCTTGCTTTGTGGTGGAGCCAGGGACTCCTTGACCCTTGGAACACACATGTGTGGGCCAGCCAGCCCTGGTGCTAATGAGAGGCATGGTTAATGCACTGCACAAGGAACATGTTCATTTCTTCCATTCGCCAGCTGTTCACAGAGCATCTGTGTTGTGCCTGGCACTGTTTAGGGCCACAGGAAGATGGCAAGGGACTAACCAGGCAAAATCCCTGCCTCCTTGGGCTTGCATGCTGACAGCTGCTCAGACAAGGAAGAATGATAAGGGACAGTCAGAGTTCAAGCCTGGAAGCAGAGAGAGGCTGAAGGCATGTGTGTGTGCATTCTCCTCACACACACACACACACACACACACACACACACACACGCGCGCTCCCGCTTCCCCTTTCACTTCCAGGACACATCCCAGGCTGCCTACT